ATGATATTCACTACTTTTCCTATTTTATACAATTATATGATGTCACTTTCTCTAGTAACATCCCTTATTATGACAAGGTCATTTGGTGTTTAAGGTGGAGAAGTTAGTTAACTACTAAAAATAAAATAAAGAGTAAGTGCAATCAGTAAGAGAAAATAACAATATCAAATGGAAATAATATTTGACAAACTTAAGCATATTTGACAAGGTACCTAAACTAAATGTCACTACCAATGTGGCAAATCCCCATTGTTTTCTTTACAGACTTGGAATTCAGATGATTGTGAGTTGTGACCTTTCTTGATCAGTAAAAATCTTCTCATGAAGTTAAGAAATAAAAAATGCAAGAAACAAGCCATTTCTAATAAAATTAACTCAATACGAATGTCTTCAATACATCATGCTTCACTAAAGTCATATCCTCGATAAAAATCAAGTAAGCATGTTCTTTATCATGACAAATTAAACCACAACTTAGATCTCTATAAAAACCCTATATCAATTAAGGTCCCCTTCATCTTTTAAATTTAGAGACATGTACAATTAGAGTTCATTTTAATTGACATAAATTTCTCACAATGATCTAGCAATGTATCGATTATAAGATTTTAAACTATTCACATGTCTCAAAAGTTAGACTCTATCCTCCTTATTTATTTTCATTTATTTTTGGTCTAAATGTCTAATGAATTCACATTAGTTCAAACAAGGTAGAATAAAGGATGATAAGTTCATAAAGATAATATGAGGAGTAATAAGTTCAAATAAGATAAGGGTGATTTCATTCCAATGTGTCCAAGAAGTCCCTATAATAAAGTCTAATAAATAAAAAAAGATAGGAAAAATTGAAAAGAATAATCCCACTTTTCGCCCATCTGCTCAAAATAATAATCCCACCTTTTCGAATTCCAGAAATAATCCCACCTTATAGCCCCATCTTCCCAAAATGAACCTTTTTACCTTCAACCTGTTTTATAGGTTAAATTTTTAAATTTTTTTTTTTAATCTTCTTTTTCCACCTCACCCCATCATTCAACATTTCAACCACCATGACCACCCACCACCACTGCGCTGACCACCTTCCCACTATCACCACCAAACTGACTGCCTTATATGCAACCCCAGCCCCGCCCCACCCGCCCCACCACACCTGAGCCACGCCCACCCAAATCCCACAAGTCTCCTCAACAGCAAGATCCAAGGTTTGAATCGGAAACCTCGTTCCCACCATCACCATTGATTTCGTTTCGGTCAAGCTCCAACGTCAAGCTCCAAGTTTCGTCTTTGTTGTTCTGGCGGTCAAGCTCCAAGGTCAACCTCGTTCCCACCCCTCACCCCACCTCTGAGTTGTTATTCAGGTGAATAAAGAAGACGATGGAGATAGTTGTTGGAGTAGACTCGGGCGAGCTGAGAAACTCGCTGGGAGTTGAGGGAACTGAGTTGACTCAGGAACTCGCCAGTGAGTTGATTCCCCTGAATTTCCAATCCTTTTAAAGCGATTAACTCGGAAAAGCTTGGTGGGATAGGACCCATGACTCCATGACAGCACTGATGTCGAGAACGAGCTCTTGGAGGTGGGTGAGTCGGGAATAGGACCGGAGAAACGATGTGGTGGTGATTAGTGAATTGGGTGGGAGGGAATCAAGGAGGGCGGCTGGCCGGCTGGTCTGGTCGTTCTGGCGGACGGCTGGGTCTGACTGGTCAGCGGCGGTGGTCCGGCGAGGGGGCTCTGGCAGGGGAAGGAAGAAGAAGAGGGTTTTTTGTTTTTTGTTTTTTTTTTTTTAAAAAAATTCTTTAATTTTTTAAAAACCCAATTAAAAGGTGACACGTGTTAAATAACCTTTTAAAACAAGTTACCAATTTAAACAACCGATCATTAAATGAAAAAGGTTCATTTTGAGAAGATGGGGTTACAAGGTGGGATTATTTATGGAATTCGAAAATGTGGGATTATTTTGAGCAGATGGGCAAAAGGTGGGATTATTCTTTTCAATTTTTCCAAAAAGATAAGGGCTTAAGAGTTCAAAAAATATAAGTTAGAAGTAGATAAGATAATTGGAATTCAAGTGACTAGAACACTAACTTCTTTTACTAATCCTGTTACTTCAATAAGAAATAAAATGTCCAGCATACAATAGAAATGAGACTCACCAATTTCAAGAAACATAGTCGGCTTACTTGTCACAGGTCCATGATGAGTAGCCTCCATCGTAATCTACATTAAAAGAAATAAGAATTCCTTAAGTTGCCAAAAATAAGATGAAACATTGGATGTCACTTCTACAAATTCTTCTACAAGTCAAAATGTGTTGTGATAACATATTACAATCAAACAACTAAACCTCAAATGTACAATACTCACTTCAAATTCAGGAATCAAATTCCGGGATTCAGCAATACTCCTTAAACGTCGAATCCAAGGTCCCATTCTAGGATCAGGAGGTGCAGCCCAACCCGGCCTCCCACCTTGTGGTGGTACATCCCCTTCTTTCAAATGTGGCACCCCTATTACACCAATTTCCCAAAAACACCCACATCACCAACAATCAAATTACAATCAAACATCATCCAAAATCAAACCCCAAATCACAAAATCAAATACTACTACAAATTACATGTTATACCCAAAAACCCAAACAATAATCAAATCAAATTCATTGAAAAAATAGATGAAAAAGAGAGTAATACCAATTGGGTGAATGGTAAGAGCAGGGCGTTTAGTGGCAGCAGTATGTTTACTAAGAAAAATGACATTATCGACGCTTTCATGAGTTAATTCTTCCCAACGAGCGTCAAGATTGTCTTCTTTAACTATACTATTATCATGCTGCAACATTCTAACTTCTCCATTTTCATAACTTCTTACTCCCTATCAATAATCATCAACAATTTCCCATAAAAAACCCACATCAAATTAAATCATTCCCAGAAAATAAATACTGTAATTGAGATGAAAGAGAGAGAAATAACCTCGAAAGAAGGGCCTGGAGACCACCCGGGCATGGCTAAAAGAGCAGAAGCAGGGCCAATTGAAGCAGGATCAATTGTAGTGGATACAACAAGTGTCACCATTGTGCTAAATTGAGAGAGGAAATTGAATTGTGGGTTTGATTTTAATGGAGGAACCCAGAAAGAAATGCCTTCTTTTTGTTGTTTTTAGAGAGGGAGATGAAGAGGGACTCGACAGGATTATAGTGGCGGGCTTCTTATGCACGTTGTTTTGGGGGAAGAGTAGCTTGTTTTTGACGAGGTAGGCTGCGATTATTCTCACCCATGTATGCAAGTATGCGCCACTGTCGATGTGGCGTGGAGGCCATGGACATTTCACATAGATGGCGTATAGCGTATAGCATATAGCGTAGCCGCGTACTCATGCACTCAATGTAGACATACGAATAATATACTTAACAAGTTACACAGTGTCACTCTAAGATTGAGATGGTGGAGTATTGACATCGCTCCTCACCTAGTAGAGGGAAAAAAAATGAATGTTGGGGAAGGGATTAGGACTCTTTCACCTTTGGTAGACAAGTTAATAATCCAACCACTAAGCTACCGGTAATTTGAGCAATATAAGTCACTTTACATTTTAAGATTTTTAACTAATTTTTTGGGGAAAAAAAATAATCTGGTGTGCCCTACCAAAACTAGGCCTGTTCACGGATCGGATATCCGATCCGAAATGTGATTTCGTATCGGATATCCGAAGACTCGGATATCAAAAATTGATATCCAAATCCGATTTGAAAAATTCGGATATCCGATATTCGGATCGGATGCTTCGGATATCCATTATCCAATATTAAGTAAAATTGTTATGATTACTTTCTAAATTTCACTAATTTTACCATTTTTTTATCGCTAAGTTGTACAAAATATTTTAACAAAAATAGTAGTCCTTTTGCAATTAATATTATCATCAAATATATTAAGAATATTACAATAAGTTAATAATACAGGGTTAGTTTTATATGAACAATTTAAAAATTATATTATTTTAGGCTTTATATTTCGGATATCTTTCGGATATCGGATATCCGGAATTCTGAAAATTAATATCCAAATCCGCATCCGATATCCGCTTTTTCGGATCGGATATCCAAAAATTCGGATCGGTTGCGGATCGGATTATCGGATTTTCGGATAGTTTTGTACAGGCCTAACCAAAACACACAGTGGCTGCTTATGGGATTCATGTGAGGGATTTTCCTTATTTATACCCTCAAGTATGTCCCCTTCTTCTTAATATCAATTTTTTTCTTTTAAAAAAAAGCTTTATTTTCATGGACACTGTCAATAGAAATAGGATAGTAGTAGGGCATTAAGATATACTATCTTTCATTCATTAGAAGATTCATGTGTAATTGACGTTTGGATAAAAGTGGTTTTAATTGTAATTTTCCTTTTGCAAATTCTTGTGTAATAAAACTATTCATTAGGGGATACTAAGAATTTTTAAAAGAAAATAAAAATAAAAATAAAGATAGCAATATAGTATGAAAAACACAAGGGGCCAAAGGGGAAGGGGAGAAAGACCTCTTAGAGTAGTGGCCCAGAGGTCGCCTCGCATTCTTGAGGTGTGAGGTTCAATTCTCATCATGCACAAATCCATCAAATTACGTTTGTAATAATTATAAGTTTGTAATTTATATTTTGAAGCAACAAGTATGGACTTGGAAAATTTGAGCATAGATTAATGCACAATACTAATTACATCAGCCATTAGAAATTGAACTAACACAACCAACACATAGACGGATAGACGCACACCATTGTATGGCAAATATACATAATCTAGTTAATCACATTACGTTGTGCGATTTTTAGTCCAAATTTTTCAACAGTTTTTTATTGACCAAAACGAGAATTGCACGATACCAACACAGTACAACAATCACCTTACAAACAATCCAATAATCATGCAATCACCTCTATTCTAAAGTCTAATACATTTTTCTCTCTTCATAACACTAAACCATCTCAAATTTGTTTTTACCACAAATCAAATGACCAAATTTGTTCATTAGTAGAAAAATTAGCACAAGTTGATTTAAGCAAGAATATGATGAAACAAGTTTTGGTAGCTAGAAAGGCATGTGAAAGAACAAGTACCCATTAACAGACACATGTATGCTGCTACTACAATTCAGAAGCTAGCTCTAATGGCTTCTAAACCCAAGTCTTCTCGCCTCCATAACTGTAAGTTTCTCTCTTTCTCTCTCCTCTATTTCTGTCTCTTCAACTTCTTCATCGAATTTCCCACAATTTCATTTATTAAACCCTAGTTTTCTTCCATAATTTGCGTTGGAATTATCACTCTAAAACCCGAAAGCTTAAACCCTTTTCAATATTTACTGTTTTTCTATTCTGGGTTTTTGTAATTGTCTCTGAAAATTGCTGTAATAGTAGCAGGAGCCAGGTGGGAAAGTGTAGCAAAGAAGCCTAGGATGATGACAACTAACGCTTCTATAAGTGACTCTTTCAGCAAGTATGCTGAATATCTCAATAACCTTGTAAGCTTCCTGGGATTTTTCTCTAAGTTTTTGTTGAAATTGGAGATTTTTTTGGGTGTTGAATGTTTGATGATAGATGTTATCAAGTTATTGAAAGGAACCCTTAATTAATTTAATTGAATCCTGTTGTTGGTAGTGACTTTAATTGAATGTGTGAATAGAGTGCTATTGGATTAGAATAACCTGTTATCCGTAGCGCTTTGGTGTTGAATGTGTGTATGGAACTTTGTAGTTTTCAGGCTTAGCTTGGTGGGTTTTGTAAACCCTCGTTTTTATGTGTCAAAGCACTCAAGGGAGCCCTTAAGTGATTGAATTTGAATGCCCAGTTGTTTGTCATGCTTTGGAGATGGAATCCTTTGAGCTTTAATGGAATGGAAAAAGTTGCCTCACTTCAATGCGGGTTGGAACAGGTTAAGGAGGCTGCATTTGAGAGAGTTGTGTGATTCATTGGTTGGGTCCTTATCGCTGGACAGGAAGACCTTGTTTCGGCGGTTATGTGTAAGAGATGGTTTATGAGTGGGATGTTTGTTGTTCCCCTCTTCTTCTAACTGGAGGTCTATTGATAGTTACAAAGGTCCATGCTGGAGTTTCATGGTAATATTGCATGTATCCTGGCGACAGTGTACAGTGTGTTGCTATGGTTGACAATATTTGGCATGGCGTTGTTGCATTTGACAGTGATGTATTATTGATGTGTGTGGAGCAAGTTGTATTTGGTGAAGGAATTGGTCATTGCTTTATTTGCTACAATTCTCTGCTGTAGTGGAATTTAGGCTCTATTTTTTTTTTTCAGGGGCATTTTGAACATTAATAGGCAGTTGTAAATGCTTGGAAATTATTGTAAGATGTTTAGGATGATAGGATTGCATGTTGTTGAAGTTCTTTTGAGGTTGATGATCCTGCTATCCTCTTATTATTTATCAAGGCATTTAGTGTAGACCTAAACAGATTGAATGAGAGTACCCTGTTATTTGTCACCTTTAGAAATGGAAATCTTCAATATTTAATGGAATTGGGAAAATTTCTGACTTCAAAGTGTGTTTGAAGAAACTGCAATTGGGAGTATTGAATAAGTGACTGATTTAATTGTTATTACTTGACTGGATTAGCTACTAGGAAGCTTTGCGCACTTTGTAAGTAGTACCTGGATGGTAATTTGTAGTGATGCTTTACAAGTAGGACTCTAGGATGAGAAAAATGCGGTACTCTTTTTTGGATAGTGGTTTGTTGATATGGAAATATGTCCAAGATGAAGTATTAGGAAGTCTGCCCGTCTACTGAGATTTTGAAGTTTGTTGATATGATTGATGGAATGGCAAGGGCTGTTTTAGAAGCTTTTTAGGACATAACTAGCAGTTGTGGATTTGTGGAAATTCCAATAATGACATGTGGATAAAATTAGGTCAAACCAAGAATGTCTTCTGTACAGGGTTAAATACTTAAATTTAGTTTACAATATCTCATCTGCGATGCACTCTGTGGAGTTAAATTTATTTGTAAATGAAATTTTTGTTCTAGAGCTGTACATTTTGTTAACTAAAACAGAAGAGTATAGTAATGGTGCCTTACAAATTGTGGCAATAAGGATAAAATATTTTTTCTTAATCAAGAGAGAGAATTGGAAGATTAGACTATCATTACCTTCTGCTGCAGTTGACATGTCAGCATAAGGGGTGCTTTTCGCTGTTACGTGATAACCTATGTTATTTTAGCACGAAAACACAAATCTCTTTGCGTTGTTCAACTTCATTGGGTCATTATTGGAGCTGTAATTTGATTTTTGGAGTTGTATAGTTTAATCAAGTATACTTACAAAAGAAGTTAGCCTGGCACCATTTCGATGAGTATGAGTGACAGGAGAGATAGCATGAAAAGTGCAAGGGTATTGTATATTTGTATTAATTTTTGACCGGTTATGTCAAATAATTGTAATCCTTTGTTTCTAAATGTTACTGAACTTATACAGTAATTTGTTATAGGAAGGGTTTCTTGGATTGGCTATTGGTCCTTGTAGAGTGCATGAATTATACCATGGTACTTTATGAAAATTATGAATTCAGAATATGTAATGGATTGCTGATAACACTTTTCTAGGCTTGTGAGCTCTAATGTTATCCATGTCCTAGCCACACCACTGAATATTAAATTACATTGTAGTACTTTTGGTAATTAGGTGAAGAAGGGGTAAGTATTGACGTAAAACAATGTAAACAGGGACCTACCTACGCTCTTATAGTCATATGTGTACTTCTTTTGAAAGTTTTTAAAAATTTGGCTGGTAGTACTCTTGGCTACTTATCATTTGTTTGGCCGTTGTTATCGTTGATAGTCATTTGTGGATGGATTAATCCCAACAAAAGATAAAAAATCAGAAGGCGGTTGAATGTTTTGCGCACAAACTTTGTACGGTCTTGGTGTCATCCTCCTAAACCCAATAAAAGAAGTAAATATGAACTGTGGAGATAGTTTGGTATGTCATTTCTCCCTATGGCTAACTGGCTATACTTGGAGGCAGGTTCAGGCCAAAGATAAGTTTTGGGTACAATAATATTATTGAGCAGCTTTGATGATTGTTGGAGGGAATAATGGTTAGGATTGTTTGCCAAGAAGAAACTTACCCGATGATCTTGTCTTTACAATGTGTTTTTACATTTTTGTTCAATTAAGAAAATAATGGGAACTTAGATTAACAAAGCAAGAGTTAACCACTGATTGGGCCATTGACTGATTAAAAGTTGGAATAATACCAAACCAGGTCAGGGGTTAATGATATCCAAATTTAGCTTCCTCCTAGCATCCTTTGCTAGCTTATCACTAATCCCGCTGATGTTCACCTGTTGTAGGCTCTTGAGTTTTGATCGTCAGTGAGAATCATGTTGCTGTGATTCAATTGATTACTCTCTTGTAGTCTGAGAGAGTAGTTGCCTGTTAGTCCTTATTTTATTAGAGTGTTTTTGGTTGATTGCATCAAGATACACCAAGTATGGCTGGTCCACAGCTCCACAGTCAGATCCAAATGCCTTTGGGAGTCTGGGGTCCCGGCACATGGCTGCTCAAACAGATGGAAGAGTTAGCCTGAGAGAAAGATGCTTACAAGACTGCAAGATGTGGGGAGTTGGGGGGGGGGGGTGGGGTAATCTAAGGGGTGATAGGGCTGTAAGAGCAAGAACCAAAGCTAGAGAATCATATTAGCCAAGAAATTGAAAGATTATGTTATGATTTTGGAAGACCCATATAAATCTTCTTAACCAATCATCTAGATGGAAGAGGAAATGGGAACATGCCACTGGGGGGAGGCTTTATAGGGGAATTGACTTTTGGCCACTCATCTGTAGACATGCAAGGAAGGAAGGAGTTGGGGGTGGGCAAGTCTTCTCAATTTTCTGGGGATCTGGCAATTCTTCTTGAGATTGGCAAAAAGGGCAAGTCACAAGAGTTATTTTTGCAAAATTTCTAGCTAGGAATGATTGGTGGCCGCTCTCTCATCAGACGGTCAGACCAACGAAGGAGATTTTATGCAGTTGGTAAGGCAGATCATCCCAAATAGCTCTGCATGATGCACTAAGGTATAGAGATTTAAGCTTCTTAGGATCTTTATTTTAGTCTATTCAACCTGCCAAAAATCTATGTTCTCAGTGCTCAACTACACCCCCATTTAGCTTAGCATGAGAAGAGATTCCATCCCTCCGTGCAATGTTGGCCAGAAGTTGGAGCCTTTATAGGCAGGTCAGGTTTTCTCTTCAATCTTCACTATAAAATCTGATGGTCAGATACCGACAGTCGTCTTCTAACATTACCTTAATTCTTCTTAAATGCGGCAGAGCTTTCCAATGCCTCTACTAACCATTCCACTCAAATGTTAGTAAAGGATTCTCTCTTAGTTTGTGCTGGATCTTTTATGTATGGCAATCTTTATGCTGTGTGCATATGTTATAAGTTGGTGTTCTATGAACAAAATTTGAACAATAGACATGGCTTTCTTTACTTGATATTTGGGATTTATTTTAGATTTTGTTTCACGATTTAACATCAAAATGTCGTGAATTGTGAGTGTTGTTTAGGATGATATTTATTCTCAGTTCAATGTTGCTATCATTTCTATGTAGAATGAGAAGAGAGAAAGAGTGGTGAAAGCAAGCCGTGATATCACCATGAACAGCAAAAAAGTTATTTTTCAGGTGCACAGGTAAATTGTTTCACGCTGTACCACAATCTTTAAGGTAGTGATGTTTTGTGTGGAAATACTTTTAGGCAATTTATGTAATCCCTCTAAGCTGTGAACTTTCTACTCTTGATGGTATATTTAAAATTGGCGGTATTGATGAAGACCTGTTGGAATTTGCCACAGTTTATTCTGAGGGGCTTCATTTTACTTTAGCCTTTTCCCGCCTTTTCCCACCTTGTCTATCTCATTCTGCTGTAGTTCTTTATTCGCACTAGATTTTTCTATGGGTGGTTAATGGTGTGGAGCTTTTTTTTTTAACAACAGAATTGGCAAACATAACAAAGATGAAGTACTAGAGAAGGCAGAGAAGGATCTACAAGCTGTGAGGGATCAGCATGTCTCCCGACTTGTGAAAGAATTGAATGGGACTGACTTTTGGAAGCTGAGACGTGCATACTCGCCTGGGGTTTGCACCTATTCCATCCCTCTCTTACGGTATATATTTACTGTACATTTAGGTAATTGATGCTATATAATTTTTTTTTTCAGGTACAAGAATATGTTGAAGCTGCAACATTCTGCAAATTCTGCCGAACTGGAACTCTTCTGAATCTTGATGAGATTAATGCTACTTTCTTACATTTATGTGATTCTTCCATTGAGCCTCTGCAGATTAATATACTTGACTACCTTTTGGGGGTAATTAACATGAAACACAATTCTAGTGTTTTGTAGTTTATGGCACGTGTTAACTACTGATTTATCTTTCAAAGTTATCTGCGTATCATCCACTGTACCATATCAAATATTTATAGTGTCTGATGTTCATATAGAGTAATTTTTTTAAAAAAATTAATAAATTGTGTGGTGTGAGGGTGTTTGAGCTAAAAAACTTGTTTCAATTTCAATGAGTGCTTAATCTATCTGTATGTAGCTTGCAGACTTGACCGGAGAGCTAATGAGGCTGGCTATCAGCCGAATATCAGATGGTGAACTTGACTTTGCTGACAAGATATGCAGATTTGTACGTGATTTACATAGGGAGCTGACCATTATTGTCCCAAATATGGATGAAAGCCATGATATGAAATTCAAAATGGAGACAATGCTTCAAAGTGTGATGAAAATAGAAAATGGTATGCTGGCTAATACTAGCTTGACTTAAATGTGGGTGATTGCAGTCATTTTAGCATCTGAAATGCTATCAGTTTAAAATGAATCATTTCAGGTCAAGTTTGCTTTTATTTCCTCTTCGTTCTTGACATTGAGCTTTTATTTTTTGTAGCTTGCTTCAGTGTACATGTGAGAGGATCAGAGTATATACCAATGCTTGGAGTAAATGACCCTAGCTACACGCTGATGGGAGTCCCGGATATGGAGCTGTAAACTACCGTCAAACTCTCCAGTTTCCCGTTCTGCATACTGTATGTGTCTTGTTCACTCTGGAGTCTTTCTATAATACTCTGGAGATCACTTGATGTTGACTATGCTTGGTAATGGGAAGTGAATTTGTGGTCAGTTTTGTCAATAGTGATCTTTCGCTCTACATGCAAAGTCATTTTAGAAATTACCTCTTATCTGGAGAACAACAGCCCTAACAATTTCATTCACTATGCTGCTTTGTTGAAGTAATTTTACCGGTATGAGGTTAACATATGCCTGATTTGGTTTGTCTGTTTACATTTTAGTTAGGTGAAATGTGAAACTAGATGAAATGAATTGAAAGGCTGACTAATCATTTTAGAAGTAGTCGGGTAGTTACTAAGGTAATTTTTGAACAAATTTTAAAATGTAAGCTTTGCTGAAAGCTAATAAAAGTTTAAGCTGGAGTAGTATGTTCAATTCTTACCTGGATCGGCACAAATTCGTCCATTTAAAGACTCCCTCCATTATATTGTCTGTGGTACTATGATAATAATAATATACTTCATCATCTACATAAGAATTTAAAAGAGATGTACCCACGTTAATACATTATCTTCTACATGGTCAATAACTTATAATAATTTCTTATTAATAAAAAGTAAGTATATACAAAGTATATTTTTTAGAATATTATTTTATGAAGTTGAAATATTAGACATTACTCTTAAAAAAACTCCCTCTCTCTATCAGATATCTTTTTTCACAATTTCACTTCTAGTTGACCAGAAGAAAAAAGAAAAAAAAAGTCAAACCTGTATATGTATATATAAACCATATGATAGGTGTTCAGTTATTCAAAACCAACACCATTGTTATCCATGGAAACCAATCTTTTATCAACCCATCCTCACGATTCTCATGATCCAAAAGAAGCAACCCCATCTTCCAAATTTGCCAAATATTTGCAAGAAGATGACTTAACCCAAGAATGCCAAGCCTTAATCTCCACCTTACCCAAAGAACAAGATTGGGTTATGTCCCATCTTTACCAATACCAAGGGTTTTGGCATCCTATTAGGGAGCTTCAAGGTGTGCTTTCATGCCAACACCATTTCCAAGCTCGCGACACCGATATCATTCTCGCCACCAACCCTAAATGCGGCTCAACATGGCTCAAAGCCTTAGCATATGTTGTCGTAAACCGGAAAATCATTCCCCTAGATGATAACCACTCACTTCTCTCAAAAAACCCTCATGAGTTAGTACCTTGCTTAGAGCTTAGAGTTTATGTTGATCACCAAGTCCCTGACCTCACAGAACTGCCCTCTCCTAGGCTGTTTTCGACACACTTACCCGTCGAGTCGCTACCGTTATCCATCAAGGAAACAAGCTGCAAAGTTGTGTGCCTAGCTAGGGACCCAAAAGATACCTTCATTTCGTTGTGGCACTTTGCAAACAAGTTAAGGCCTCCAAATGATGGTAAGCTCCAACTAGAAGAGGCATTTGACAAATTTTGCAAAGGTGTTAGTTTTTTAGGGCCTTTTTGGGATCATGTATTGAGTTCTTGGAAGTATAGCTTAGATAATCCTAACAAGGTATTTTTCTTGAAATATGAAGACTTAAAAGAGCAACCTAAGTTGTATCTGAAAAAATTGGCTGAGTTTTGGGAATGCCCTTTTTCTTCAGAGGAGGAAAATAATGGGGTTGTTGACGAGATACTTAGTTTGTGTAGCTTTGATAATCTGAGTAATTTGGAGGTGAATAAGATTGGAAAATTGTCTACAGGAGAACATAACGAAGCCTTTTTTCGAAAGGGCGAGGTTGGTGATTGGGCTAACTACTTTACTCAAGAGATGACTGAGAAACTTGACGAGATTTGTTTGAACAAATTTCAGCTTTGTGGTTTGAAGATTTAAATTAGTTGTGTTTTTGTGAGGGAAATTTGTATATGCATCTGGTATGGTGTATCACTTCATCCAAGTATGTACTTTTTTTTATGTGAATGAAATGAAAAACTGGCCTATCATTTTAAAAGTAGTTGCTGAGGTAATTTTTGAATTACTTTTAAAATGTAAGCTTTCCTGAGAGCTAATCAAAGTTTAAGCTATTTTGTGGGGCGGAGGAAGTAGTATATTTAATTTTTGACCAGGGATTATTTAGTTCATCTAAATATTCAAGGCCTTTTCTATTTACCTTATTTTCACTTATTTCTCTGAAATAAGATTGTTTAAATAAGATAACTTTAGAAATAATAAAATTTGTTGAGGGTTACTCAAGTTAAAATTACAAATAAAATAAGTTCAAATAATGTTTAATAAGTTCATTCAAGTAAAACTAAGTGACACACCCTTACTGTTTTATATTTTGTCTGAGGTACAATAATTACAATAATAATACAGAGTAATATTGTACTTCCTCCGTCCCTTAGTTATAATTAAGGGACAAAGGGAGTAATAGTTTATGGTGACGGAATCAATTAAAATGATCCTTTGTTTTCATACGTTTTATTGAAATCACGTCCAAATGCGCAACGATATGATTGTCATTTATTTATAAACTAATGATCATGTTAACCACTTCTTGTAGAAATTATATGAACTAAGAATATTAATCTCTCTTTTTTCTAATTTTTCAAAAATATTTTCTTTGTTTTTAGTGAAGAGGTTATAAAGACTTTTTAATAAGAAATTAAAATAGATGTTATCATCTATTACTTCTATGTGATCAGTAATTCATACTAATTCTGTAAATATAGACGGTAAATAAATTACTTCCTCCGTTTTTTTATTTTTGCAACAGTTTGACTTTTATATTATTCATTTGCTTTACTTTGACTACCGTTGGTGATTTATAACTAAAAACAATATACTCATTCAAAATCTTGTTAGATTTTTTCACAAAAAAAAAAAGTTAGATTATTCTCGATTTATGTTATTTTAATATCAAATGTTTTTAATTTTTACATGTTGGTACTATTTTAGTATCAAATGTTTGTAATTTTTACATATTGATAGTTAAAGCTATTAACGATTGAAATAATACATTGACAAGCGTGAAAAGAGAAATGTCATATATTTTTCAAATGGTACTCTGTATACAGTTGAAATTTATTTCAAAACTATACATTACTCATAAAAGGTTGTTAAATAGTCCCTTTCCCAAATATAATTCTTTTTGTAGCTAGACACTAGTTGTTGTGCAATCAATTTCCTTTTAATATAATATGGTACAATGATTACACAAATAATTGAACACAACTAGTCAATTAACACCAAAATATAAAATATTTTACAAAAAAATCATCACACATACTATGACATAACCAAAGAAGGTCAAGATTTAATCTCCACCTTAACCAAAGAACAAGGATGGATGATCCCATCTTTACCAGTACCAAGGATTTTGGTATCCTAATAATCTGTTTGAAGGTTTGCTTTCATGCCAACACAACTTCCAATCTGGTAACACTGATATAATTCTCATCACTAACCCTAAATGTGGCACAACATGGCTCAAAGCGTTAGCATACGCTGTCGTGAACAGGAAAACCAATCCTTCAAAAGATGATAACCACCCACTTCTCACAAACAACCCCCATGAGTTAATACCTCTCTTAGCGCGGAAGGTCTATGTTGATCACCAAGCCCTTGACCTCACAGAATTGCCCTCTCCTAGGGTGCTTTCGACACATTTTCCTGTCGAATTGCTACCATTATCCATCAAGTAAATGAACCGCAAAGATGGGTGCCTAGCTAGGGCCTAGGGACCCAAAGGACGCCTTCTACTCATTATGGCACTTTTCAAACAAGTTAAGGCCTTAAAATTGTGAAGAGGCATTTGACAAGTTTTGCAAAGGTGTTAGCTTTTGTGGGCCTTTTTGGGATCATGTTTTGAGCTCTTGGAAGTATAGCTTAGACAAGCCTAACAAGTTTATTTATTTTTTCTTCTTGAAATATGAAGAGCTAAAACAGTAAAACACCTAAATTGTGTTTGAAAAAAATTGGCTGACTTTTGGGGTTGCCCTTTTTCTTTAGAGGAGGAAGATGATGGGATTGTTGAAGAAATGCTTGGTTTGTGTAGCTTGATAATTTGAGCAATTACATTTATTTTCAGTAATTTCCTTCTCTTATAAAATATTTATTTCATTTCAGCTCAGCTCAGTTCAGTTGAGTTCAGCTGAGTTCAGTTTATGAGAACAGACCCTTAGTTTTGAACAAGGTTGGGAAATTGACTTCAGGGGAGCATAATAAGTCTTCAATTTTAACTTTTTTCTGTTTTTACTTCCTCCGTTACGAATTACTCGTAACAAAGAGGTATTATTTGTGAGGTATAAAATATTCTTTTGCTACGAGTAATATGTAACGGAGGGAGTATAAACCATTCATTTTTCAATTAAAATATATAATAAAATAAAAATTTATATTATACACCTATAAAGAAGACTAGTTGACTTTAAAGAAGAGTACCATATTCAAGTTGCCGACCTAACTTACCAATTCAAAATTCTTTCGCAAAACTGCGCATGCTTCTGTTATCACGATTTTGTCATTTATTGGATAATTGCCGTTTTTGTGCTTTCACCTATTAATTTGCACTTTCCAAATGTAGGTGAGTACAGATCATTCATTCATATTCATACATTACTATACGCCATTTAATGAATAATTATGGATATTTATTTTCTAATCATTAAAGTCCATTTACCAACTAATCTAAATCTTCTAGTATTATAGTATTTCTTCCATCTTATAATACAATATCTCTTTAGATTTTAACACAGGAATTAAGAAAGTTTTAAATTCCTTAAAACTAATGATTAGAAGTATATATATGCATGTACGGCTAGGGATAGATAAAGAGAAAGAAAAGTAGTTGTGTATAATTGAAGAGATAGAGAGAAAGAGCTGAAAAGGGTAATTCAAAGTGTCTCTTCTTGATAAACATGATATGTATCTCAAAGGAATATTTTTTGTCATTTTGGGTATGTAAGTGGGGCTAATTATGTAAATTGTTCTTAAATTGGCATTCTTTTCCTCTGTCCATTCTACTTCTTCTCTTCATCTGTTCTCCATTCTCTCACCTACTTTAATGAAATTCAATGGAGAAATCAGAATACATGAATATCTTCGATGAAGGTAGAAGTCGAACCTTTCCCTAAAGGGTTAACCAAGCCCTAATTTCTCTATTTTTATTAGGATTTTTCGTTTAATTCGACGGCCGAAAAGGTATGGAGGTTGAAGAAAATAGGGGACGACGAAGATGATGGTGGTTTATGAGCAATACGATGATGGTGGTTTATGGTTGATAATGGTTTAATGGAGTACACTAGTGATTTGGTGAAGGTGAGGGGACGAAAGATTAGAAACAAAAAAGTACAAAAAATAAAATAAAATAAAATATTAAAAAAGTTGTTTTTATTTACCAATATGCCATTTTGAGATACAATGATGTTTATCAATATGAAAAACTGGGGCTTGCTTAGCTGAAAATTGATGTTAAAAAAAATGACAACTCTTCCAAAACAAGGGTAATATTGTCAAAAAGTACAATATTTAAATAGCTAGAAAGATGTATTGTATTTTGGTTTACCTAAAAAGGAAAAGAGACATTATATTATGAGATGGAGCATGGAGGGAATAGTATAGATAGCAACGCTAGGTCGAATAGCACCAAATTTTTAACATAAAAAAACTCAAACTTCTCTATATATAAAGCATATGTTAATAATAGTGTTTAATTATCCAAGGCCAACAATATTTCTCATGGCAACCAATCTATTATCAACCCTTCCAAATGATCCAAAAGATGTAACTCCATCTCCCAAATTGGCCAAATATTTGCAAGAAGATGACATATCCCAAGAATGTCAAGCCTTAATCTCAACCTTACCCAAAGAACAAGGATGGGTTTTATCCCATCTTTACCAATACCAAGGGTTTTGGTATCCTGTTAAGATGCTTCAAGGTGTGCTTTCATGCCAACGCCACTTCCAAGCTCGTGACACCGATATCATCCTTGCCACTAACCCTAAATGTGGCACAACATGGCTCAAAGCCTTAGCATACGCTATCATAAACCGGAAAATCAATCCCCCGGGAGGAGATAACCACCCACTTCACTCAAACAACCCCCATGAGTTAGTACCTTATTTAGAGCTTAAGCTTTATGCTGATCACCAAGTCCCTGACCTCACAAAACTACCCTCTCCTAGGCTGTTTTCAACACACTTACCCATTGACTCGCTACCGTTATCCATCAAGGAAACCGGCTGCAAAGTTGTATACTTAGCTAGAGACCCAAAGGATGCATTCATCTCATTTTGGCACTTTATGAACAAGCCAAGGCCTCAAAATAGTAAAATCACACTAGAAGAAGCGTTTGACAAGTTTTACAAAGGTGTTAATATTTGTGGGCCTTTTTGGGGTCATCTTTTGAACGCTTGGAAGTATAGCTTAGACAATCCTAACAAGGTTTTTTTCTTGAAATATGAAGAGCTAAAAGAACAACCTAAGTTGTATTTGAAAAAATTGGCTGAATTTTGGGGGTGTCCTTTTTCTTTAGAGGAGGAAAATAATGGGGTTATTATTGAAGAAATACTTGGTTTGTGTAGCTTTGATATTTGAGCAATTTGGAGGTAAACAAGAATGGAAAATTGTCTACAGGGGTGCATAATAATTTCTTTTTTCGAAAGGGCGAAGTTTGGTGATTGGGCTAATTACTTCACTGTGGAGATGATTGAGAAATTTGATGAAATTTTTGCAAGAAAATTTCATCAAAGTGGTTTAAAATTTTAAATTATTTTTTAATTGTATTTCTTTGAGGAATTTACGCATTGGGTATGGTGTATCATGTCATCCACATAATTACTTCATTACATAATTTCAAAATTCTATATAGATAATTATGTTGTATTGTCTTATAAAAAAAATAAATAATAAAAAAAAAGATTATTATTTGGAATTTTAATTCGAGATCACCGTGTACGTTGTTAGTAGGAGTTCTAGAGATGTAACATATGTCTTCCGTTCTTTTTTACTTGACCCGCTTTGACTTTTACACTATTCACCACCTCTCATTTGACCGTCTTTTGTGAATGATATGTAAGGAAAAATATATTCATATGATATCTTATTTAATTCGTCTCAATAAGTACTATTGTAATATACAACTTTTATAATTTTTACTTATGAAGAATTAAAGTTATTGGTCGCTAAAGTTTTGCATTGGCAAGCGTGATAAAAGAAACAGGTCAAGTAAAAAAGAACAGAGGAAGTATAATACATTTCATGCGTGTAATAGTTTCTACTCATTCCCAAAATGTCTAAATCGTTAACCCAGCCGGGTTGATATGTAATAGATATTTTTTTGGAAAAATGGAAAAGAAAAATCCAACCTTTCAACTTTTTCTTTACAAAAATCTAACATTTTGATTATTCCTCAAAAATCCAACCTTTATACCCCTCCTTCTCCAACAGGTCCATTTTATCTATAACCTGATAAACATGTTAAAAGAGTTTTTATTTTTTATTTTTTATTTTTTATTTTTTATTTTTTATTTTTTGCATTTTACCTTTTCACTCCTATTCTTTCTCACTCCTCGCACCTCAACCACCAACCCCACCTCCGTCACCACCAACCCCACCTCCGTCACCACCACTCAACACCGCAGAAATCGCCGATTTCTACCAACCCTCGACGACAACGAAGACAACGATGAACAGAGGATGGGGTGGACTTGGATAGTGCGATGAGGAGAGCAATCGAGCGTGGGAGATGGGTTTTTATGGTTTTGCGTGGGAGGGATGGTTTTGGGGAAGGGGGTTCGCGCTGGTTGCCGAGGAAGAGGGAAGGGGATGGCGGTGGGGGAGAGGGGTCGGCGACGGCGCCAGGGGAGGGGGATCTGGGCGCGGCCGGCGCCGGGGTTGGGAGGATTACAGGTTATTGTGGGTGGTCAGGGAAGGGAGAGGGTGGCTGGGTTTGATTGTGGGGTGGTCAGGGAAGGTTGTTTGGTGATTGTGGGGTGGTCAGGGAAGGTTGTTTGGTGATTGTGGGTGGCGAAGTGGTGATTACGGGTGGCGAGGGGAATGTGTGATTGCGGGTGGCGAATGGTGGGAAAGGGGTTGCTGGGTTTGATGGTGAAGTGGTGCTACAGTTGACGGTTTAGGTTGGTGGTGATGGTGGTTATTTGGTGTTGTGGGTTATGCGTGCGGGTGTTGTGGGTTGTGATTATGGGCGGTGATGGGAATGGGGTTGCATGGTTTCGGTGGCCGATGGATGATGGGGAATGGGGTTGCTGATTTTCTGGTGGCCGGTGGGAAAGGGGTTGCTGGGTTTGATGGCCGTTGGGTGGTGGGGATACGGTGGTCAGTGAAGGAGGGTGATGGGGCTGGGTTTTCTATTTTTTTTTTTTATTTTTTTAATAATTAAAAAAATTAATTGACCAATTAATGGCTGACACGTGGCACATGACTTATAAAAACCGGTCATCAACAGGTAATGGATCTGTCGGAGAAGATGGGGTATAAAGGTTGGATTTTTGAGGAATAAAATAAAGGTTGGATTTTTAGGAGGAAAAAGTGCAAAGGTTGGATTTTTCTTTTCCATTTTTCCTATTTTTTTTTTTTGAGAAGATATGTAATAGATTTTGAACAAACAATTTACCTACTAAACAAAATACTTCTTTTGTTTCTTATAGTTGCAACACTTCCCCAAAATAAAAATGTCACAATAATTGCAATACAGTATTAATGGAAGAGTTTTATGGTGAAAATTGTAGCATTACCTTTATTTAAAGCACATTTTTTTTAAATAACCTTTATTTAAAGCACATGGCACACTTGATTATACTCCTACCTCTTAACTCAATTTTAAGTGTATTATATCATGTGAGGTTCAATTTTCTTAAACACCGTGATAAAATGTGTATTACAATTTAAAACTATAAAGAAACAGACTTCGTACACGTTATGTTTATAATATATATTTCACACATGAGTATATGACTATATGAGTACCTTCTAGAGATAAGGAATTTGATAGCAAAATTGAGGTTAGTGATTGCGCAAATTACCTCACTAAGGAGACGATTGAGCAAACTGATAAGATTTGCATAATATTTTTCCAAATATGGGGTTTAAATAATTGTTTGTAAAACTGGAAATAGATACATTGCCTAATTGGTACAATATCATGCAAACTACTATGCAAACTACTCCGCAGTTAGCTTAAAATAGATTATTACAGTAAGAACCTGTTCTTTAATTGGTACAATAATTAGACAATATATCCATTTCCGTAGTTAGTACAAAATAGATTGTTTTTTTGAAGTACTTAAATAAATTATTACAGTAAGAATATGATCTTTTCACCCAACAAAAATAATATCTATTCAGTTTAATTAATAGCTAAATTTCTAAAATTGTATGGAAATCATAATTCGAATTTCAAACATAAGGAAAATGAATTTTAAATATTTTATACATTTGAAAAAGGAAACATGAAAAACAATAATCCCACTTTTGCACGACCTATTTAAAATGAGTCAATAATCTTTGCATAATATGGGAATGAGCCTACCTTTCGTCACTAATTTTCTCATAACAAGCCTTTAATCGATTTTTTAAGTTGGTAATTGGTTTTAGAAGGTGACTTATCACGTGACCCCTTCCAATTGGTCCCTTTTTTAAAAATAAACCAAACAAAACAGACTATTTTAAAAATAAAAAGCAACAACCCCCTACCATACCACCCAGCCTCGCCCCTGCTTGAACGGCTACCCCTTCTCGGCCGGTTGTGTTGCCCCGCCTGAATGGCCACCCACACCCCTTCACCGCCCCTTTCCTCGATAGCTAGTCGTCAACCCATACCCCCGTCTTCAATTCCCCTCCCTCAACCCATACCCCCATCTTCCCCTCCCTCGAGGGTACACTACTAGAAAAGGCTTATCTCCGACGGACTTATTTCGATGGGTTGTATTTTGTGTCGTTAAATTTAAAATTTACGACGGAATCTTGTATGCCGTCGCCGGACTTAGACCGTCGCAACAAGAAGGGTCGGGTGAGGGGACTTGACCAAAGTGCAGAGCTGTATTATGGCAACCGGATGGGTCGAGTTTCTAGATCTTCACAACAGTACACACCATCCGTTGTTTCTTAGATGCAGGATCAGATGGAGCATAGGGTGCAGGCTCTTCGTAGTGAAATCCGGAGTGAAATGGAAGTTGAGATGCAAACCCGAATTCAAGCTGAAGTGGCCGAAATGGAGAGGAGAGCCGAGGAGAGGTGGAATGAGTTCATGAGTCGATTCGCCAACAACGGCGACACATGTTCCACCTTTCAGCCTCAGTGTCGAGACCCCATGTATGACCTGGGTAGTGGAGGAGCAGGCAGGATACCCCGACAATTGTTTAGCAGCTTTGGTTTATGTAGTATGGACATGTACTTAATTTGAATTATGTAGCATTTGATTATGTTCCCAATTTTGTAGAACTTACTATACATTATGTAGTTTTTGGATATGTTCTACTTCAGCAAGCTTTTGTGGAAATATACACTACCTCCGTTACACATTATTTGCAACGATTATACATTTTTTTCTCTCTACTTTATGTCAAATCGTTGCAGATAATGTGTAACGGAGGTAGTATAAAGAATAATATACTATAGTAAAAAAAGTACAATCTATAAATAAAACATGCACTTTATTTTTAAGATCCAAAAACGAAATAAAGACATATAATAAAAGGACGGAGGGAGTAGAAGATTTAGATTAGTCCTCTAATCCATGTCGATCAACTCGTATAATCTACTTTCCTTAGTACTCCCTCCTTCCCTTAATACAATGTCTCTTTGGATTATTACACGGGAATTAAGAAAGTTGTAAATTCCTTAAAATTAATGATTCAAAATACATATATGCATGCATGGTTAGAGAGGGATAAAGAGAAAGAAAAAGTAGTTGTGAATATAATCGAAGAGATAGAGAGAGAAAGTGCTGGAAAATGATGTTAAAAGTACAAAAAATACAACCCTTAAATAAAAAGATATATTGTATTTTAGTTTTCACCTAAAAAGAAAAAGAGACGTTATATTTCTTTCAATAAAAAAAAGGACATTATATTATGAGATGGGGGGTGTATTATAGATAGCAACGCACGATTTGGAATATATAACACGACTAGTAGAATAGCACCAAAATTTAAACATTAAAAAAAATAATAATAATAAACAAAATGCTCAAACTTCTCTAAATACCAACCATATGTTAATAAAAATGTTCATTTATCCAAGGCCAACAATATTTCTCATGGCAACCAATCTATCATCAACCCTTCCTCATGATTCTCATGATCCAAAAAATACAACTCCACCTTCCAAATTGGCCAAACATTCGCAACAAGATGACTTAACCCAAGAATGTCATGATTTAATCTCCTCTTTGGCCAAAGAACAAGGATGGATTTTATCCCATCTTTACCAATACCAAGGGTTTTGGTATCCTAATACTTTGTTTGAAGGTTTGCTTTCATGCCAACGCCACTTCAAAGCTCGTGACACCGATATCATCCTTATCACTAACCCTAAATGTGGCACAACATGGCTCAAAGCCTTAGCATATGCTATTGTAAACAGGAAAATCAATCCTCCAAAAGAAGATAACCACCCACTTCTCACAAACAACCCCCATGAGTTAATACCTTTCTTAGAGCGTAAGGTCTATGTTGATCACCAAGTCCTTGATCTCACCGAATCGCCCTCTACTAGGGTGTTCTCGACACACTTGCCAGTAGAATTGCTGCCATTATCCATCAAGGAAACGAAATGCAAAGTTGTGTACCTAGCAAGGGACCCAAAGGATGCCTTCATATCATTGTGGCACTTTGCAAACAAGTTGAGACCTCAAAATAGTGGTAAGCTCCAACTAGAAGAGGCATTTGACAAGTTTTGCAAAGGTGTTAGTTTTTGTGGGCCTTTTTGGGATCATGTTTTAAGCTCTTGGAAGTATAGCTTAGATAAGCCTAACAAGGTTCTTTTCTTGAAATATGAAGAGCTTAAAGAGAAACCTAAGTTGTATTTGAAAAAATTGGCTGAGTTTTGGGGGTGCCCTTTTTCTTTAGAGGAGGAAAATAATGGGGTTGTTGAAGAAATCCTTAGTTTGTGTAGCTTTGATAATATGAGAAATTTAGAGGTGAATAAGGTTGGGGAGCTTAATAAGTCCTTTTTTCGAAAGGGCGAAGTTGGTGATTGGGCTAATTACTTCAGTCAAGAGATGATTGAGAAATTTGATGAAATGTTTTTTGACAAATTTCTCCAATGTGGTTTGAAATTTTAAATCTGTTTATGTTTTTTATGTAAGAAATTTATGTATGCATCTGGTACAAGATTTTTATGTTGTATTGTGGTTTGAGATTATCATAATGTACACTATTAGTAGAACATGGTTTGGTTCTACTACTCACTTGCATCCGGACAAATTCTTCAATTCAAAGCTTCACTTTATTATTATGTTGTCTGTGGTACTATGACAGTATGACTACTACCAATAAGTAATAATAAAAAATAATATTTTACAGGGATTTGTTGAAATCATGTCCAGTTGGGGGCAATTTCGTAACTATGTGATTGTCATTTAATCATAAACAATTAATATAATCACGTTAATCACTACTATCTTTTTGTTTAAATAAGTGAAATATTTTGACATTTTGCACTATTAATTTAAAATTACTATACATAATATTTGTGATTTATATGTAAGAATAAATATATAGTTTTGTGGGTAATGGTTGAAATCGTCTCAAGAAAAAATTTATTAATGTTTAATCCTTATAATTTTTACTTATTGATAATTAAATAAATTATCAATTAAAGTTTATACTACAACCAGTTAAACAATTAATATGAACTTGTAAAGTTACATTAAAACACATAATTTTTTCAATCAACATCTCACACAGAAACGAAATTAAAGGGAATTCACCAACTGTCAAACCTCCGAACCGTCTCTTGGCTTTCTTCTTTTAGTCTTGTACCACTACCTCCGTTTTATTAAGTTTACTCAACTGTATTTTATGCGGTCAATAATGCACTACTTTGACCATTAATTTATTTGATTGTGCATCAGTAATAATCATACAAAATTGAAATGTTGATATTTCATAACAATATGAATCATAAGATCCAACTTGATAATGATTTTTCTTATATACACAATTAGACATGGTCAAAACTTCAAATCTTTAACTCTAAGAGTAGTACATGGGTAAAATTCAGAAAAATGGAGGTACTATTTAATTAAGTATGCCATCTTCGAAACTGACTGCCAATTGCTCACGAACCATCTCGAACAAAGGTGCTATATTCCTCACCGACCTTGACTCAGTCATAGGAGAGATTCTAGCTATTTGTTGATCTTGTACTTCCTATAATTTTGTTAGATGGTGAGGAAATACTTGGTTTGTGTAGCTATGATAAACAAGATTGGGAATTTGTCTTCAGGGGAGCATAATAAGATCTTTTTTCGAGAGGGTGAAGCTGGTGATTGGGCTAATTACTTCACCGATGATATGATTGAAAATTTTGATGAAATTTTTGCAAGTGGTTTAAAAATTTAAGTTATTTTTAAATTGAAAAATAGAATGTAAAAATCCAACCTTTAGCCGATCTGATAATAAAAATCCAACCTTCCATTAATCTCAAAAAAATCCAACCTTGCACCCCACCTTCTTTGACAGGTCCATTTGACCTTTAACTTGTTAAACCGGTTAAAAATGTTTTTTTTTTTTAAAAAAAAATAAATTTCCTTCTCACTCTTCTTCTTTCTTTCTACTCTCTACACCACCACCACTTCTCCCACCACTTACCCCACCCTACCCAAACCCTCTTCCTCCTCCTCCACCTCTCTACACCAACACCATGAATTCACGAACAGCCTATCACCACCACCTTAGCACCACAAAACCACCCAACACCACCATCTAGCACCACGAAGCCACCCAACACCACCACCTAGTACCATGACACCACCCACCACTACAACCCCAAAACCTAGACCCCACAACCCTGAACTCAAATTAAACCCAGAACCCCAAAACCCACAACCCAAACTCAAACCCAGAACCCAAAACCCACAACCCCGAACTCAAACCCAGAACCCAGAACCCCGAAATCAAACCCACAACCCCCAAAACGGGTCAGGGGTATTAGAAAACCGGGGTCGGGTTTAGGGTGGAAACGGGTCAAGGGTTGTCGATTTGTGGTCGGCGGGCGGTGGGGAGGTTCGGGGAAGGGTCGGGCTGGTTTGGGAGGGTCGAGTAGGGTGTTTGGTGTGGTGGTTAGGGTTTAGATTGTATGGGGTTTTGGTGGTTGGGGAGGTTGCGGCAAGGGGTGGGGGGAGATCGTCGGAATCCGACGACCCCGATGATGGGGCTGGTTGGGGTGGGGGGAAGTTGTCGGGGAGTGAGGGAGGTGGCTGGGGTGGTGCGGGGGCTGGGGGGGTGGCTGGTGGTGTTTTTTTTTCTGTTTTTTTTAATGATTAAAAAATAATTGACCAATTAACGACTGACACGTGGTACATAACTTACAAAAAACGGTCATCAACAGGTAATGGATCTGTTGGAGAAGGTGGGGGGGAAAGGTTAGATTTTTTTGAGATTACTAAAAGGTTGGATTTTTATTGTCAGACCGGCCAAAGGTTGGATTTTTAGATTCCATTTTTCCTTTTTAAATTGTATTTCTTTGAGGAATTTATGTGTTGGGTATTTAGTATCATGTCATCCACATAATTACTTCATTACATAATTTTATATAAGTAGATTTTTTATATGGTATTGTAATTCGAGATCATCATGTACGTTGTTAGTAGGAGTTCTAGAAGTGTAACATATGTATAATATATTGGAAAATTTGCCAAGAATAATACGACCTTTCAGCAGTCTTCCAAGAATGGAATAAGCTTTGAATTATTTCAAAATGGAACGATCTTTGATATACATTTGCCAAAAATAGACCAAAAAACCTGTAACTTATTTTACAGGTTACTTTGGACACGTGTCACATTTGTGATTGATTAAAACTTTATTTATTTTATTTTAACATTTTTCTTTTAATAATATGATATAAAAAATAAAACTTAAATTAAATTTTTTTTGAATTTTTTTTTAAAAAAATAATAAAAAATAAAATAAAATGGAAAAAAACATATCCCTCCCCCTTCTCGGCAGCCACCCACCCCATCCCTAAACCCGCCGGTGGCCAGAGCCTATACCTAGTGTCGGCGGTACCCTCCTGACCCAGGCCCGACTCTGACCACCCATCCACTCCCCTTGAACCACCACTCGAAAATCCAATGAGCCTAAAACCACCACTCGATTTTAAGGTTTTTGAGTGGTGGTTCAGGGGAGGAATGGATTGGAGATGGGCGCCGGAGGGGCGTGATGGATTCGCCGGCAAAGAGGAAAGGGTTGAAGCGTCGGTTGGCTGCGCGGTGAGGAGAGGTGGGTTTTCAAGAGGAGGGAGGGGGTTATAAGGTGGAGGGAAGGTGGTTTATTAAGGGAAGGGGAGGGGCGTGTAGGCTCGAGATCTGGGTCAAGAGGGGTGCGCCATCGCCGGGTAGAGGGATCAGGCCGTCGGCCGGGGGTGGAGAGGGGGAGAGCAGATGGTGGTCGAGTGGCTGCTGCGTGGCTGCAAGGGGGAGGTTTTTTTAAAAAAAAATCAGTTTTCTTATTTAGTTTTTAAGTATTTTTTTATTTTAAAAATGTTAAATAAATTGACCAACGACATTGTGACACGTGTCACTGATAACCTTCTAAACAGGTTACTAACAGGTCACAAGCTATTTAAGGCAAATGTGTATCAAAGGTCGTTCCATTTTAAAATAATCCAAAGGTCGTTCTATTTATGGAAGACCGCTGAAAGGTCATATTATTCTTGGAAAATTTTCCTAATATATTTCATGAGTGTAAGGATCCCCTTGCCTTTTCTACTACTTCCCAAAGTGTCTAAACCATTAATCTAGGTCGGATTGATATGTAATAGATTTCGAACAAACAAATTACCTACTAAAAAAATACATGTTATGTGATGTGTCTATTTTATATAGTATTTTACCCCCGTCCCTTGGTCGTAATTAGTAGTGTTTTTGGCTCTTTAGAGCCACTTTTATTACTAATTGGTGTTTTCTAGTGTTTTCGTAGATTTGGTTGACTTTTGCAGGGATTTATGCTTTTGGAGTATTTTCCCGAGATATTTAGGAGCAATCACGAGCATTGGAAAAGCACGACCAGAGTTTATAGCCCAGGGCCGGTTAGAGACATCGAACCGGTGATTAAGGGCTCGGTAGAGGTGATACCGGGGCGTTTGAACCGAGTATTCAAGACCCAAAGAGGAAACCCAGATTGGCCCGAAGAATTGGAGCCCAATCGAAGTCCAAATATTGGCCCGAATGAGCTGCCCGGCCAAAAAAGGCTGGCGCCCGAAGGCGCGCCCGGCCAGGCGGGAGGAGCGCCCGGTGACGCGCCCGGCCGGGCGCGAGATTGCTATTAGAGGTGAAAAAAGGCGCGCCCGATCGGGCGCGTGTGTATTTAGGAGACGATTAGCGTCGTTTTAATTTGTTTTAGTTTAGGATTTTTGTACGGAGTATAAATTCTCCTCCGTAATACGATTTTAGGATTCCTCTTCTTCTTCTCCTCTTTACTTTCTTTACTCTCTTAATTATTCTCTTAGAATTCTCTCTCTAAACCTTTGTTCTTAATTCTACTTTTAATTCCAGATTTATTTTGGTAACGATTCCTCTTCTCTTAATCTTAGTTATTTATTCTATTCCTTTAATCATGTCTTATTTTATTGCTTTGATTTGTTTAGTTTTTAATATGTGTGAGTAGTTTAATTTCTAGGGTTTATGGGGATCTAATAAATAATATGAAGGGGTAATTTATTGTTGTTAATTATCAATGTTAGATTAATTTCCTATTGATTGATTTAATGCTCCGTGACTAGATTAGGCCTATCTTTTATGCATGAGTTTGACAATATTGATTCAAGATTCGAGAGATGAGAATTAATGTTTAGGTCTAGTTTCAATAGGCAGATTAATTTATAAATGGTTAAATCGAGATTCGAGAGATGAGATTTAATACTGGTAGATTAATTCTGTGATTGTAATACGTAGCGAAAGTCCTTTACAATCTGGTTAATTGATGCATTGATGATTGACTATTATTGATTATTGATATTGCATGATAATTTCCTATTGAATTGTTTTAATGTTTTACAATTGCGGCTTGTAAAAGTATAGCAATATTAAATTGATGAATCGAGCAGATGTTAATTTGATATTAAAGGCTATTTTCAATAAGAACTTAAATCTAGTAAACTGCGAGAGCCTGTTAGACCTATG